CTTTTGTGGGGGGGGGGGGGAACCTAAGTTGCGCGGACTCCTCGTTTTTGGTGTCGTACCCATCTCGACAGGGGACGGGAGCGAGATACGTCCCGGATTTGGTCAACTAACTTCGGATACTTTGACATATGCCCATCGACAAATTTAGGGGGAAATTGATATTTTGATTTCTCAAAATTAAAAATAAAACAGATTTAAGACATGCGTAATGGCATACCTTTAATATTGTAGTACTTTTGTCTCATATTTGCTGCTTTGTGTTCTAGAAAAACCAAGAATTCAAGGGGTCGTGTTCTGAGTTTGGACTTATAGCTCGATTTTTTATAATTTTGAAATTTTTTAGCCGAATCCCCGCACCCGTATCCATACTTGGATCCGCACCCCCGAATCTTAAAATTTAGATTTTACCGAATCCGACACTCGGATCTGTGCCCGTATCGGATGCCCGCACCCGAGTCCGAGCAACTTAGGGGGAAACACATCTTGTTGTTGTTCAGTGACTGTGTACAATGGAGCTACATATATTTGGGAGCTATATGTAATAGTGGGAGAAGGGAAAGAATGAGGGGAAGGTATATACATGCATACCCTTTTATGTCAATCTATTAACAACTATGACCTAATCCCAAAAAGAAGGTTGGCTTAGTCTTACAAATCCAAATCCTCTGTAACCTTTCAACTCTATTAATAATCCAATACTGCTTTGCTTATAAATAATTTTCTTTTAATGCAAATTAGGATTTCTCTAAATCTTGAGGTTAATTACTCACAATTTTTCTTGTATTGGAATACCTATCTCTAACCAAACTAAAAGATTACTGGCAAACATCAGAATTAATGCGAGTGTAATAATAATACCTAGGCTATAATCCTAATTCGTCGGTGTCACCTATTTGGATAATTTGCTTATGTTCTGTCCTAGTTAAGTCAGCATTGACTCGAGAAATGGTAATCTTTTGGCAACAACTCCTCGCCATATGATTTTAAGTCGACTCCCCCTTTAGCACCTTCAATCGTAATAAAAAACTATCTATATATAAGGTGCAAAATTATGTGTACATATTCTTGTATTCTAGAAAATTGTTTTATGCTTGTGTTAATGGTCATGTATTTTTTTATATATCTTTTATTTTTAAGTAATATCAGTTTTGAGATTTGACTTGTGATTTTGATTCAGGTTTGTTGCCTCAGCTCGTCAGTTGGCAAAAGCTTTGGAAGTTCCATTGGTAAATGATCTAGGGTATACAAAGAGATATGTGCGATGCCTTCAGGTATGCACCTTGTTCTGATGCTGGAAGGTTTTTATTTTGGCCCTTTTTTGGATTTGTTTGGAGATATTCCGCTTGTATCAATGTGGATATCACTACAAATTCTTTAAATATTTGCTTCTGTTAGTGCTTTTAACTTCCCGACCAGGTCATGGTTTGCCTGTTCTGTGCGTGATATCTGACTCAACCAGTTCTATCCAACTTTCTTATCCTCTCCGGCCCCCCTCTCCTTTTAATCTGTCATCTTCCCGTGGAATTCAAAGCAAAGCTGAAAATGAAGGTCGAAATTCAGATTTCTAGCATGTAGCAGCTCAGACAACCAAGAGGTTGTGAGTTCGAGTCACCCAAGAGCAGGGTAGGGAGTTATTGGAGGGAGGGAGCCGAGGGTCTATCGGAAACAGCCTCTCTACCCACCCCAGGGTAGGGCTAAGGTCTGCACAAACTACCCTCCCCAGACCCCACTAGTGGGATTATACTAGGTTGTTGTTGTAATATTGGAAATTCCTACTGGTAAATCTGACTCATGAGTTAATGTGTGAAGTAGACAGAATGTATTTTGGCCTATTCTTGGGATAGAGATTTCTGATGTAACTCTGTTCCTGTTGAGAAACGTTTTCTTTCACTTTTCAGATGTTACCCTATTTCCACAATTTTATTTCATTGCGTCATAAAGGGTCTAATGGTACAAGATAACTTCCAGTTCAGCGATTTCCCCCCTTCTTTTTACTTTCCAAGTGTTTTTCACGTAGGCCTAGACTTTTTTCCAATGACATTTTCACTATAAAAATAAACTGACTGAAAATTGCACATGTGGTGCATTCAAGTGATAATTCTTCTGATTTTGTTTTAATCTTCCTTTCAATTAACAGTTTCATGGGATATAATTTCTTATTCTGCTATGTACTGCTGGTGCAATTGCAGATATCAGAAGTTGTTAATAGCATGAAAGATTTGATTGACTACAGCAGAGAGACAAGGACAGGGCCTATGGGTAAGTCTGCTTGTGTACCTCTACTTGTTCCTGAGGCTAGCTCAAGGTTTTCTGTACCTACCTATTAATCTCAAAGATCAAAATGAGGTTGCATGGGCTAATCTTTCTCTGCTGTTTGATGGTTTAGAGATTAGGATACGATCGGTTTTCATCACAAGGCATAAATGTTATCATCTAAAGTTAAATTTTCACTAAAGACGATGAATTGCTTTTTGAGGTGGCAACTGGTAACTACTAATGTACAGGTGAAAAAACCCAAACTGGCTGTGTTTGAATGCAGATTTCATTCTATGTGCCTTTAAGTTGTCGGAGGTAAAATACTGATTCAAAAAAAAAAAAGAGCTTCTCGAATATAAAGTAGTGGGTTGTGTAGTGTAAGAACTTAACCCTGAGAGTACTGCATGAATGTTGGGATTGATACAGTTCTTTAAACCTTACAATTTGTGCTTGAAATTTGGCTTTTCAGAGAGCTTGGCTAAGTTTCCTCGTAGGAATGGTTCATCGGTTGGGGTACATGATCCAGCTCAACCATCTGAGGATCAGTCTCAGCAGCAGCCACAGTTACAGTCTCAGCAGCAGCAACAGCAACAACAGACGGCCAGTCAGAACTCAAACCACGACAGCTCTGTCCAGGCTGGTGCAATGCAACTTGCTTCCAGTAATGGGATTCCAAGTGTAAACAACTCTTTGAACCCAGCATCTGTTACTTCGTCTAGTAGTTCTGTTGTTCGGCTATTGCATCAAAATTCCATGACCTCTAGGCAACAGACCCCAATGAATGGTGTGAACAGCCCTTATGCAGGAAATGGTGTGAATAGCCCCTATGCGGGAAATGCTGTTCAAATGCCTTCACCAAGTTCTTCAAATACAATGCCACAATCTCAACCAAACCCGTCTACGTTCCAATCCCCAACACCGTGTTCATCAAGCAATCCACCACAAACTTCTCATGGTGGCTTATCATCAGGACCACATGTGAATTCTGCCAATTCCCCGAATATTTCAGTTCATCAACCCACTCTTTCAGGTGATATTGATGCTAATGACTCTCAAAGTTCTGTACAAAAGATCATACATGATATGATGATGTCTTCCCAACTTGGTGGAGGTGGCCTTGTAGGTGGTGGTACCATGGTGAATGATATTAAAAGTGTAAATGGTATGATAGCAACTGCTAATAATTCCATTCTTAATGGAAGCAGCTGCCTTGTTGGGAATGGGACAGCAAATGCTAATATAGGTATGGGTCCAGGATATGGCAACATGGGCAACGGACTGAGCCAGGCTGCAATGGCCAATGGAATTCGGGCTGCATTAGGTAATAATTCCGTGGCTATGAATGGAAGAGTAGGCATGCCAATGTCACGAGAGCAAAGTATGAGTCAACAGCAACAAGATTTGGGAAACCAACTACTTAGTGGTCTAGGAGCAGTCAATGGTTTCAATAACCTTCAGTTTGACTGGAAAACATCTCCCTAAAGGTTTCGACTTGGCTGTCGCTAAGAAAGTATGAACAAGGTGACAAGATCCTTCTTGTGGATGTAATTGCTTATTTGGTCTTCATGCCACTGCTTTGTGCTACAAAGTTAACGTGAGTTTGCCTTGCAAACTGGGAGTAGATATGGTTCCTGAAGAGAGATCATTTCAGGGCTTGCTTCCATTGTACTGATTTGCGAGAGAAGCAAAATATGTAGCACAGTAATTTCATGGTTGAAATGTTACATCACCTGAGGTTGCATAAGATTCTTCTAACTTGATTTTGTCTGGTTTATCACAGCTACTTATTTGCACTAACAGTCTTGAATAGGACATTGCAGAAGTGACTTGGCGAACACTTGTACCCTTTCGAGGCATTTGTAAACTACCGAATCTGCTGAGAGCTTGCCCATCTTGTGCTGTACCTCCGTCACCGCTCCGGAACATGAGTGTATATAGTCTGGATTGTGTGGCAGGATTTTTTATTATAGAACTTTCAGGAGCTGGTAGAATTGCCTTGCCACTTGTTCCATGGGCAATGTGTCTCATGCAATCACTTCATTTCTCCTCTCCCCTGACTCCTACTATGTTTTTATATCAATAACAGTTTTGATTATTGTGGTTGCTGGCTTTTCGAGTGGCTGGATGCTGAAGATGAGGATTTGCCTGGGTGGGTTTTTTCCGGGGGGGGG